AAAGCCGTTGCTATTGCTAGAAAATTGCCTGTTTTTCCCACTGTCTATGTTCCATTGCAAAGATTTTCCTATACGGTCTGCTAAAGACGCAACAGAAAGTAAGGGGCAACTCCCCTCTTGGGGCCTGTGTTGATGTCCTTTTGTTCATGTCAGAACTTCTCTCCCCAACAAATGGGATTGCAAAAGTGGCTTGAAGCAGGTTGATGCAGTTTAGGCAGCGATCAAATGCTGGTCAAGAGGTTGCCAGCTGGGGGGTCAAATGCATCCGGTGAATGATGTTGTAAGCATCTGAAACTGATCTCTAATGCAGGTGGAATACCCCTGAGAACCAACTACTTTTGCCCGTCAACAATTTAGAATTTAGATATTTAACAAAAGAGTTGTCTCCATTGGAAGATTTCCCTCTCGCCTCTTCTTTGATAGCTGTAACATTTTTCATTTCCCTTCACTTTCTTTCCCATGACAATGCTCACCAAAAAGTTTGAATCGCATGCAGGGATTCTGGCTGCCATAAAAACCTAACAAAGGTTTCCAGCTGTTTCCAATTATCCAAAACTAAAATAAAGTTTGAATTTAAAATTCACTTCCAGGGACATTTGTTTGGTCACATACATGGTCTTTGAAGAATATCCCTTCTAATCTGTTTTATTTTGGGAAATTAAGCATTTTGTATGTAAAAAAAAAAAAGGAACTTTTAGGGCTTGTTCACACCATTTTCTAGTCCAGATCTGGAGCAGATCTGCAGACGTGGTGCCATGCGTGCAGTCAGTGCGTTTTTGACACGTTTTACTGCGTTCCATTTTTTTTGGAGTGGGGCTGTCAGTATGTTAGCTGCAGTGCGGTGCATTTTTGGCGCGTTCGTGCATTCCCGGGACCGTATCCGGACCGGACAAAATGTGACATGCAGTATTTTCTCGAACGGACTGCGCACGTGAGAACTGTAGCCCATAAAACACATAGGGATACATTGGGATGCATTTTGGGTGCAGGAGCGTACGGTTCTGGTCAGGACACAATCCGGACATCTTGTGAACAAGCCCTTAGGTTAGAATTGTGGTTGTGACCATTGCCAATTTCCTTCTCGGGTATCAGTTGCCTAGCTGTCTCTGGCTGACCTGCAGCCAACATGCAGATTAGAAAGACTCGAGGCAGAACTCTTGTTCCATATACTTGTATTTAGGTCCGTGCACAAAACTGTTGGAGCCCTTAGTTGTGTAGCTTAGTCAGGCAGCTAGTATTTTCAGAAGGAGAAATCAACAAGGGCAGCACTTTTCATGAGTTGCATACAGAATCGGGAGCACTCTACTGTAGCAAGAGGGGCAGTGCCCATGTGGAAAGGGATTACGTAAGTTAAGAAAACTAGTCTGCCAATATAGAGTTCTTGTGGGTTCAAAGGAGTTTCAGAAATAGACCAACTTCCTCAGGGCTAATTAACACAAAATAATGAATCATGCAAATGTATTCTAGTCACAGTTTTTTATTTTAGTAGCCTTGCTGGGAGCACCACGGTTGGCAATACTTTTGTTGGAGGGGTGGTAGCCAGCTCTGTGGATGCCCTAGTGTTTGCAAGCTTCAATCCCCTGCTAAGTGGGGAGCACTTTACACTGCAGGTGGGAAGCAGCTTGAAGATGCCAAAATGCCTGCAAGCTTTTCTGTTACCATCAGCTCTATATGTGGCCTTTACTTCAGCCTGCTCCCACACAGACTGCACTATGCTGTATGTGGCCACACAAGAGAACGTAAAGTAAGGATTTAAAATGAGCTAGGGGAAAGCAGTGTGTGTGTTTCACATGCTTGTGACACACCAGACGTTCTAGATACTTAGGCTGCTCTTTAAGTTTGTTGTATAGTTCCCCATTTTGCAGTTTCCCAGTTACCACAACTCTATTATTGTAAATGGTGATTCACCCAATTGGCTGACAATTTAAAGAGACTCCCATCACCTGCCCATTCATTCAGTGGTATAGGTTTGTGGAAATACTGTTCTTTTTTAACATTAGGGTGTAATTGGTGCATGGGGCATTTTTTTTATATAAGAGAAAATAAGCCACGCACAATTCAAAAAGCAGGTAGTATATACAATAAGCACTCCAGTAAGGACGACTAGATTATGATTTCCTCAGATGTAATGACCACATTTTTAGACTGAAAAATTGTGTAAAATCTCTATGTAGTCCTATTTTGGCTACTTTTGTGAATCCAGCAATATATAGGGCAGGGTATAGTGTAACTGTCATGAGGATCTTTGTCACGTTATTCTCCAGAGAATTGGCCTTAAAGGGTATGTATGTACATGGGTGTGGAGGTATATGGAAGTATGGCTTGGTAGGAAGCGAGAAAGGGGTGGGTTGGATGGCAGTGAGCAAAGGTAGGCATTGAGAAGTGAAAATAGGGGAAGGGTTGGTGTGTGTGTGTGTGTGTGTGTGTGTGTGTGTGTGTGTGTGTGTAAAATAAGGGGTGCGGTTTTATTTGTTAAAGAGAAAAAATTGGCATTCACTGTATCTGAAATAAAGTTTGGGGGATTTGGCATCAGATGGTATTGAAGAGAAATCAGATGGTATTGAGAGATTCTAGCGGTGGCCGACTTATCATAGTATTTGGTAAGTATTTTAAAGCAGAACTCCGGGCAATTCAAATGTAAAAGTGACAAAGTCAAAAAAAATTTGCTCCCCCCAATGCTAGTGTAAGCACTTACCTTAAATGATGTTTCTTAATCAGATCTTTCCTGTCGTTTTCATCTGTCCCTCCAGCGCTGCTGCGGGTCTCCGATCCAGCGCTGACTCCTCTGTCCCACGGTGTCTGCATGCGGGTGCACGTGTCCATAGACTTACCTTGTTTCTCTCCTCATCTCCCGGACGAAAATGTGAACTGCGCATTCGCCCGCCGCAAGATGCTTTGTGGCCGCCTGAGAATTTTTTCACATTTTTGGACGGAAGCACGCAGGGAAGACGGGTAAGTATTGACCTCTTTTTAAAGAGTTGTTTTTTTTTTTTTATATATATACACTTTTTGCATATATGTACTGCTATTGTAGATATATGCAAAAACACCGGAAGGTTTAATTACACTTTAACCCTTGCATTTTTGTCTAGGGAGCTAAAAAAAATATATAAAGTTATAGCCACCCAAGCCACGGTTCCGGCTGGCACTTAGACCGATCCTTGGAGCCTGTCTACCCCTACGCTCCAGCGCTCTTAGGCCCCCTGAGTCATCGCATTCTATGCAATGTATAGGACATGAGAATGCCGAGGGACATACCATTGTTGGAAGGAGTGGTGTAGGAGCTAGCCAGGATTGCGGTTCGGGCGAGTGTGGCTCCCTAGACAAAATGAGCACTAAAACCCTTGCAGTGCGGGGGGTAGGGTTAGCCCGTAGCCTGACTGCAAGGGTTGATTTGATTTGCCTGGAGTCCTGCTTTAAAGGGACGAACTGTTACTTTAGTTTTTCACAATATAAGATCATGATTTTGTCCATTGTTCTGGCCTATAGATGATTCCTCCAGACTTGCATATATGAAAGTTCAGTCACAAAGTTTTGAGGGAGAAGTGATGTGTAGAGAGAGGAGTTTTCCTGGCATCTACATTCAAAATCATTTAGGGTCAACAGGGAAGGTTTCCTTTGTTAGAGACTCAACCTAGTGTCCGATCTGGAGATGTAAAAACAATTCCCTTTTCCGTCTCTTTAGATTCCTGTAGCTGTTGGAAAAAAAAGAAATTGGAAACAATGGCCACCTCCGTTGGCATATAGTTTTGTGAGAGTAGCTGTTTTGACTGCGTTTTTTAGTATTTTGTAATATGTGGAACCCTTGAGCCATCCTGGAGTTTGTGGAAACATTCGGTTTATAGCCCGGGGTCTAACTGAACTCCGGATACATTTTTAAAACTTTGTTTTGGTGATGTGAAGGGTGGTTGGGTGCATATTGGCCAATTTGTGAAAATATACATTATTTTGTTCCTTGTATATACAGAGCAATATAACACATTTTAGTAAACCTTGTATAAGCAGATGTTCCTTCAGTGAAAACCACATGTTGAAACAATGTATGAGATATCAGAATGTTTATTGTATTGTTTGGACCTGCCCCTTCTGCTTTCCTATTTGTTAGAAGGCACAGTCCAATAAGGAGGCTACAGGGGAGATCAGCTTCTGCATTTATTAACTCATTTTATTTATTCAGCCGTTTATCAGGCTTACCTTAGAGTGTACCTAAAGCCTTGGTTCTCAACTGGTGGGTCGTTACCCAAAAGTGGGTCGCGACCCCGTGTTCAATGGGTTGCTGCGTGCCTTACACTTTTTTTTTTAGGTAAGAGGCTCCTTAGCTTCTTCCTAGCGCAACAGTAATTTCTCGCACCAAGCAGCATTCAAAATATGCTGCCCGGTGCCTAGTGTCAGCTTAAGTTGGGGTGGGATGGGGCTATGGCCGCGAGGCTGCTTGATTTATATATGTGCATTGCTTGCGTGTCCCTCGCATGTCCTATAGAGATGCCTGGACCGGAGTGATGCCACATTCTGGCTCGGCACTTCTACAGGGTGTGCAAGGGAGCTGTACAAGCAATGCACATATGAATAGCGCTCCGGCACAGATGAACACACTGGACCCCAGCCTGAGGATCCACTCCAGTTCTCGTAAATATTTTCTTTTGGAGTGTGTGTGTGTATATGTGTGTGTGTGTGAGACTGTCTGTGGTTGTATGTGGCTGTCGGGGCCCATTCACACTAGTACAGTGCGTCAATCGCAATCACACCTGCTGTGGGAGGTGCGTTGCATTTAAATAGCATCCCAAACGCACCTCCCACAGTTCGATCACCCGCACCGGAATGCGTGGTACCGCGATGCGACCCGGGTCGCGTCTTAATAAACAAGAACAAATGTGGGTCCTTAGGTTACACAAATTGAGAACCACTGACCTGTGGCTTCATATCTGAGTTTTATTTATTCTCAAAATTGGAGCGCCACTAATGAATGGATTACACTAACAAATATTTATTTGTCTTTGCAGGATAAGCACCATGATGCTGCACATGAAATTATTGAAACAATTAGGTAAGTGCTTGAGTTTGTAAAGTATTTAATAATAAAAATTAAAGTATACTTTGCTAGGTTGGGAAGTGGAATTATGTTTTTGATTTTTTTTTAGTGCATGCAATAATCGAAATTTCTAGTCGGCTACATATGAAAAGGCGTCATAGTAGCGTGGTATAGGCTTAATACCTTAGATAACATGTATTGATAATGGTTACATACTTATATGATTCAACAATGAATAGGAAACAACTATGATTATAGCAAACATTCTCAACAATGCAAAGTTGGTGAATTCTGTCTTTTTACTAACTGCTTCCCTCCCACAATCTGTAGATGGACATTCGCTCAGCAAAGGATATAGTGCTATGGAACATGAATTTATGGTCATACTTTGAAAGCTAGCAGGTCATATGGTGCTTGGCTGCTAGTTGTCATACCCAGCTGTCACTGACAATGCCGGTCTCTACTAATGATCAGGAGCCAGGAGTGGTTCCCGTTCATTGAGTACTTTACCAGCTATGACAGTGATTACATGCAGGCTGGAGACTTGGTAAAGGGGAAAAAAATCCCGCCTGCAGATGACAATGCATTCTGAAGATGGCAGGTTGGTGCATGATGCATTTGTATCATGGTGCGAAATTTGGCCTGGGCATCTAGGCTTCAGTGACTGCTGGGCATGAAAAGGTTAAACAAGACATTTTGGCTACTCTAAAAATGAGCTACTCATCTGTAATCTCTCAAGATCTCAGGGAAAGCCATTTTTCCTTCTCTGAGATCATGTGCATAGTCACGTGTCCTAGTCACATGTGCCAGAGTTCCAGGAAGTGAAGGGAGATTAATCTGCCCTTAGTAAAAAAAAAAAAAAAAAAAGGTCACTGTCAGATGACTGGGGAAGAAAAGAGAAATAAGGTATACAAAGAATAAAAGGCCGACAATTATCTAGAAGTGTTTGTAGATTATCATTACTAAACATTTCTAAAGGTGCCTTTTTGTTATTTTAAAGATGAGGGTGAAGTTCCTCTTCAACCAGTTGCCGTCCGCACGTTGAGAAAAAACGGACGGATGGCAGACTCCTATCTGCGGGTTGCCGTCTCCAGACGGCATTTTTTTCCTGCAGGACAGATACAGGTAAGAGGCTGCGCTGGGTCCCTGGATGAAACCTTCCTGCTCCCTCCCTCTCCCACACAGGGGACAGTTCTCCCTTGCTGGGTCGGACGCTGCTGGTGCTGGACGCATTTACACAGCCGGTGGTCGTGAGTAACTGCGGGGGTCTCCCTGTTGCCTGTGACGATCTCTGGTGGGCAGGTTTCTTGGTGCAAGGGAGCTATGTATCGTAAGGGCGATACTCCCGGGCTGCCTTGTGAGGGATGTGGGCTGCGCTCTGCGGACCTCTCTGGATCACCTCTCTGCGCGGCCTGTACGCCTGCGCTCCTCTTCCAGTCGCCTCTGTGCTCCCTCCGGGTCCCTGGGGGGGCGAGGGGTTGTCCATGGAGTTTTTCTCCACTATGAATGGGTTTGTGTCGCGCATTGTACGCGCCCTCACGCAGAGACCCCCTAAAAAACGTGTTCTGTCTTTGCCGTCCCCGGCGTTATCTGGGGAGGAGAAGGGCGACTCCTCGGCGCCGGACTCGGGCAGTGAGGATGAGTCTGCGTCGACGCTCATGGTTAAGGAACCTGAACTGGTTTGGGCGCTTGTGCGCGCCGTCCGTGAGACGCTTCCGATTGAGGAGTCTCCCGGTACTTCTACCTTGTACAGTTTGGAACGCATAAGAGCAAGCGTTCCGCAAAGGTGTTTCCCTACATCCCATTTTTTGCCGCGTTCATTTATAAGGAGTGGAAACGCCCGTCCAAGTCCTTTGCGTTTCTGAAACTATTTTCGGTTCGATATCCGTTCGAGGAGGCTTTCTTGTCCAAGTGGGCCACCCCGCCTGTGGTGGACCCCCCGGTCTCCCGCTTGAACAAGGCCACTCTTTTTCCGGTGGTGGATTCGCCGCCCTTTAAGGACCCCACCGATCGGAAGGCTTAGGCGATTTCGCGCACCTTGGTTTCCGTGTCGGGCGCACTGATGCGCCCAGTCCTGGCGTCTGCCCTGGTTTCGCAAACCTTGACTGAATGGGCGAAGATGCTTAATCAGGGTCTTGCGGAGGAGAATGTTTCCCCCTCCTACGTGGATTTGGCGGAGCAGCTGGTGCAGGGCCTTAAGTATGTCTGCAATTCGGCTCTGGATGCGGCCCTCCTTGTGTGTGTCGCGGGTGTCAATGGCGGTGGTCACACTTCGCCGTTTGTTGTGGCTGAAGTGCTGGTCGGCTGACCAGGCTTCCAAAAAAGCTCTGACGGAGCTCCTCTTTACTGGTGACCGCCTGTTTGGCGCTACTTTGGATGAAATCATTAAGGATCTGACGGGGGGTTAAGAGCACCTTCTTACCTCAGGTGCGCAAGAAGGAGCGGAGGCCGGGGCCTTTTCCGCTCACGAGCTGCTTTTTCGGCCCCCTCCGAGAAGGGCGGTAAGTTCCCCAGAGCCACTTCCTCCCAGTCTAACAAGCGTCCCTGGCAGCCGAAGTCTGCCAAGCCCACCGACAAGACCCCGTCCACATGAAGGTCTCGGGTCGACCCTGGGTTCCAGGGTAAGGGGTTGCCTTCGGCTCTTTGCGGACTTCTGGCTGGCTCACATCTCCGACACCTGGGTTCGGGAGCAAGTGACCCCGGGTTACAAGATCGAATTACTGTCTCGACCGGGTCACAGATTTTTCCCGTCCAACATGCGTCTTTCCCCTTCTCGCCTAGCGGCTCTTCATCGCAAGGTGGCGGATCTCCTGGCCCAGAGGGTTGTGGTACCGGTTCCGTCCTCTGAACGCTTCCGGGGTTTTTACTCCAATCTGTTCACTGTGCCAAAGAAGGAAGGGGTTCGGCTCATCCTGGACCTCAAACGCCTAAACACCTTTGTGCGGGTCCCTCGTTTACGCATGGAATCGATTCGGTCGATGGGGAAGTGCCTTTGTCCGGGGGACCTGTTGGCCTCAATCGACATCAAGGATGCCTACCTTCATGTGCCTATTTTTTTTCTTCGTTTCCAATTTGTGGCGCTGCCCTTCGTCCTTGCGTCGGCCCCGCGTGTGTTCACCAAGGTGCTGGCCCCGATTCTGGAGGAGTTCGGATGGGTCCTGAATGTCCAGAAGTCTTGCCTGGTGCCTTCCCCACGCCTGGAGTACCTGGGCCTGGTTCTGGACACGGTCGCGGCCAGGGTTTTCCTTCCTCCGGAAAAACTCCGGAAGCTTCGCTCCCACATGCGCCTGTTGCGGACTTGCCGCTGGTCGTCCGTTCGTTTCTGCATGCAGGTCCTGGGTCTCATGGTGGCCTCCTTCGAGGCAGTGCCCTTTGCTCAACATTACACTAGGACCCTCCAGAGGGACATTCTGGTTCAGTGGGACAAGTCGCCCTTGTCTCTGGACAGGGAGATTCGGGAGGCGAGGGCCTCGTTGCGGTGGTGGCTGCGATACGAGTCCCGTCTGCCGATAAATGTGTTGGAACTTCGGGCGATTCGCCTGTCCCTTCACTGGTCGGTCCTGCTTCAGTGTCTGTCAGTTCGGGTTCACTCCGACAACGCCACCGCGGTGGCATACATCAATCATCAGGGCGGCACAAAAAGCGTGTCCGCAAGTCGGGAGATATCCAAGATCCTATCTTGGGCGGAAGGTCGGGTCCTTGCGCTGTCGGCAGTTTACATCCCGGGGGTGGACAATTGGCAGGCCGACTACCTCAGTCGCCAGTCGGTGGACCCAGGGGAATGGTCCCTGCACCCGGACGTCTCATCAGCTGTGCCTTCGCTGGGGGACGCCGGATGTGGACCTTCTGGCGTCTCGTCTCAACCGGAAGGTGGAGAGGTTTGTGGCCCGGGCTCTGGATCCCTGGGCGGAGGCGATGGATGCCCTGGGCGGAGGCGATGGATGCCCTGGTGGCTCCTTGTGAGCATTACGGTCTGATTTATGCCTTCCCTCCACTTTACCTGTTGCCTCGGCTGCTACGTCGGATCACGGCCGAGGACGTCCTCGTGGCTCCGGATTGGCCTTGGAGGGCGTGGTACGCGGACGTGGTTCGACTACTGATGGACGCCCCCTTGCAGCTGCCTCTGCGTCAGGATCTTCTGTCCCAGGGGCCCGTGTTCCATCCTTTACAATCGCTGGCTTTGACGGCGTGGCTGTTGAGAGCCAGGTCCTGAGGGAACAGAGGGTTGTCCGATGCGGTGATCTCTGCGATGCTTTGAGCCTGCAAGCCAGTCTCTAGGAGGATTTGCCATCGTACGTGAAGGGCCTATTTTGCCTGGTGTGAGGCTGGGGCCTGGTCTCCGCTTGTTTTCCATCAGCAAACTTCTTGCCTTTTGCACGGTTGGCCTTAAGCACGGTGAAGGGTCAGATCTCGGCCCTGACTGTGCTCTTTGGCGTTTAATGCTTTGGTTCGTACGTGGGGGTTACGCGTATTGCTCCTCCTGTCTGCTCGCCCGGGCACCATGGGATCTGAATCTGGTGCTGTTGGTGCTGCAGAAATCTCCCTTTGAGCCTATTCGGGAGATTCCGCTTTTGTCCTTGTTGCGAAAGGTGGCCTTTTTGGTGGCCATCGCTTCGGTTCGGCGGGTTTCTGAATTGGCTGCCTTGTCCTGCAAGTTACCGTTTCTGGTTCTTCATAAGGACAAGGCTGTTCTCCGCCCTCGGCCGGCCTTCCTGCCTAAGGTCGTGTCGGCTTTTCATTTGAATGAGGACATTGTTTTGCCCAAAGCCGGTTCACAGGAAGGAAAGGGCGCTGCATTGCCTGGATGTGGTGCGCGCTCTTCGGGTTTATTTGGAAGCTACTGCTTCTTTCCGTGAGACTGATTCCTTGTTCGTCCTCACGGGGGGCCCTCGTAAGGGCAAGGCCGCGTCGGCAGCTACGGTTTCACGATGGATTCGTGCTGTTGTTGTTCAGGCGTACGCCGTTAAGGTGCGTGAGCCCCCTTTCCCTGTCACTGCCCATTCTACTAGGGCTGTTGGCGCATCCTGGGCTTTTCGCCATGGTGCTTCTGTTTCCCAGGTTTGCAAGGCTGCTAGTTGGTCTTCGGTTCACACCTTTGTCAAGTTTTGGCATCTGCGGATGCTGGTTTGGGGCGCAAGATTTTGCAGACGGCCCTTTGAGTGGTTCGTGGGTAGTTTGTTGTTGTTTGGTCCATCCCTCATTGGGTTACTGCTTGGTGACGTCCCTACCTTACAGGATCTATGATCTGTTGCCCTGTGTCCTTCAATGAACGGGAGAGAAAATAGGATTTTTGTACTCACTGTAAAATCCTTTTTCTCTCCGTTCATTGAAGGACACAGGTCCCGCCCTCTTTCTCTGGGTGTGCACTCCTAACTGCTTGTTACTAACTGGAGACTTGTCAGCAGGTGGGGGGTTGGGCCACCAGCAGGGGCCGCTCCTAGGCTGTCTGTCTGTTTTTTGTTATGTGCCTAGCGTCCTACTCCTGCAGGTGGCGATATACCCTACCTTACAGGATCTACGATCTGTTGCCCTGTGTCCTTCAATGAACGGAGAGAAAATTATTTTATGGTGAGTACAAAAATCCTATTTTTTGAGGTTTTTCGCGCGCATGACATGTTTGGTGTTTTTTTTTTTTTACCCGACGCCACCCCGACTCTTATATTTTACCAAAAAATTGGGTAATCATAAACGTTTTATAATTTAATATGGGGGAAACTGTTTTTTTTTTAAATTATTTTCTGTAATTTTTCCTTTTAATATAGTAAAAAATAAAACCCCCAGTGGTGATTAAATACCACCAAAAGAAAGCTCTATCTGTCCCCAAAAAATGGTATAAAATTCATTTCAGTACAGCGTTGCACGATGGAATAAATGTCAGTCAAAGTACCGCAGTGCAGAATAATGAAAAATGGCCTGGATGGGAAGGGGGTTTAACACTGCGGACTTCAAGTGGTTAAGTAACATAACTCGGGTGTTACATCTTAAAAATGCATTGAAGTACCCTATTAACTAGGGATGTTCAGATACCTAGTACTATACTCAGTATAAGTACAGATAATTTTCCAGCTCCAAGACTAGAGAAAAGTTCAAACGTTAGGAGGCCGCTGTCATTTTTAAGGAGCATACAGAGCTCCATTTCAGGACAGTGGTGGATTGCAAGAGCCAGGTCCCAGCTGCAACCCTAGTAGTTCTCGTGAAAATGCCAAGTATCAGCACTGGTATCTGAACACCCCTACTATTTAAAAAAGTATCTTATTTGTGTGTCACTCAGCTGTAGATCCTCAAATCATCTCTGAATTCATGCTCCAAGCTCACTCCCGTGATGGACTACAATCTCAATACAAATTGGCAAACTAAACCTGAGATTGTAGTCCATCATGGGAGCGAGCTTGGAGCAGTGACTGCTTTACAACACACACAGGACCATGGTCCACAAAAGTAGCCCCCCTCCAGAAGGAAGGACAGTGTCGGCACCAATTCAATTGTCATTTTACTAATATATTTTCAGTCGCTTGCTGTCTTAAAATGAATGTTTATGCAGAATCTAGTTATTTACATGTCATTATCTCTGTTTCTTTTCAGATGGGTCTGTGAGGAGATCCCAGACCTTAAATTGGCCATGGAAAATTATGTACTCATTGATTATGACACCAAAAGGTAAGTTGATTTCTAGGTTCTCATAAGTATTTTATAGAAAAAAACGAAACCGAAATAAAAAAAATTGTCAGGCTGAAACCGAAAATGTTTTATTTAAATGTTTTCTATATATATATATATATATACACACACACACACACACATTCATTCCTCCCTCAAAATTTCCATTCGCCCCCTCGCAATTGGCGAGTGGAATGTCAGCAATGGTGCCTCGCCGGCGGGACTAGGGATGGAATACTACCGCCGCGGCAAACACTCGCTTCTGTTTTCTCTTCTCTTTCTTGCCTGCTGCAGCTACAGAGCGGCCGAGCCCGAGAAGGAGAAGAGAGAACCGAGCGAGTGATTGCCGCGGCGGTAGTGTCCCATCCAGAGCCGGAGCTAGCTCTCTGTGCTCACTTTCTTTCGTCCCGGCCGCTTCAGCTCCACTCAGTCCTCAATCTCTTTTTCTGCAGCCTCTGTTATCAGTGAACAGGACTCCTCTATACTGAAGGTTCCTGTTCATTGATAACTTGGAGAACATAGTATGTTTACTATAACCACAATCATGAATGAACAGGAGGCGATGTAGATCACTTCCCTTTCATTCATAATTGAGGATATATTAACCATACTATGTCCTCCATGTTATGTACAAACACTGATCGCTGAGTGTTTGTACCAATCTCCTTCCTGACCGCTGTCATTTTTATAAAAATATTAAAAAATTGAAAACATTTAAACTGTTTGAGATTAACTCAATTACAAAGACTAGAGGCCACCACCTAAAGTTGGTGTAGAAAAAATTCCAGCACAATGGTCGAAGAGGGTTCTTTACAGTAAGAGCGGTTAAGGTCTGGAACTCACTTTGTTCAAGAAACTTTTGGACAATTTCTTGAGGGACCATAATATCCAGGGATACCACTATCCCTAAGAATGAGATGATGCGTGTACCTATATGGGTTGGACTTGATGGACGTATGTCTTTTTTCATCCCCAAATACTAGGTAACTATGTAACAGGAGGCTGAGCAGGCGGTCCGGGCATAGAGGTCAGCCTCCTGTGACGGCGCGTGCTGTCTCCGCCCCCACACCGCTCTGCCGGACTGTGACAGGAGGCTGAGCAGTGTGGGAGGAGAGACACCGGCCGCTCACAGCGCTCTCCTCCCGCAGCGCTCGGCCGCCTGTCACACTTCTTTTGAAAGAAAGCAGGCATGCACCGATGTATCAGCAAAAAAATTGCACTTTTGGCATTTAGCCAAAAGTGCAATTTTCGGCCGATATATCGGTGCATCCCTAGTATTTTATTTCTTTTTTTTTTCAATGACTTTATATCGGTTATCTGTTGACATAGGTCCCTATCCCAACACCTGATGAAACCCTCAAATGAGTATTTTTCTGTGTAGATCAACCCTAGGGGGTGACCATAAATGCTTTAGTGATTGACACAGGAAAGAGTGGTGGATCCCACAAGGCAAGTCTGCCTTTCTGTGGAAGACATCTGTCTGTCTGTGCTTAGAATACTCTGCATGCTTGTTCTGTTTTTTTGACTTCAAAAATATTAAATCCATTAGATTGGCAAGACCACAACTTCTAGTTTTTTTTTTTTTTTAAATGTGTTCAAAAATGTCTGACATATCCCTTAACATGTTTATTTTAATATGGTGTAACTCAACTAATATTACTGGTTGTGCTCATGCTACTTTTATGATGCAGACAGAACTGTACCTTCTTTTCAACTGGACCTTAACATTGTTATATGTGCAAATGTGATCTTGATGAAAACAAACCTATTGGTGTGAGTTAATACTGTAAAAACATTTAAAAAAAATATATTTGTGGGCAGCCATATTGTCTCATCACTTATGTAGACTTTGCTTAGTGCTATGTAGTTGTACTCTACTATGCCTGTGTATCAGTTTAAGTCTGTAAATCTACTCAGGCTATTTAGCTTATGAAATGTAATTGATTGTCATGCAAGCCTTCTGAATATATTGGTACAGCTGAGAGAAAGAGAGAAAATGTCCAAATTTCTATATTGCCTACGTTCTTAAATCCTTTAAGTAAAGGATTGGCAAAGGGGTGTAACTGCTATTCCAACTTGCACAGACACGTGAACAAAGCTCCCAATTTAAGTGTAATGCTTTAAAAATGGCCTGCAGAAACCCAGACTTTTTGGCTTTACATATACAGTATCTATTGTGAGACAAGGGATGCCAGGCAAGAGCAGATGGTAGCCTAAGCATCAGGTGGCAAGTCTGGGTCCACACCACAGACTAGAGCAAGGTTTTTAAATATTTAATCTGCAGAAAGTTGGGGAGTATGGGGCTCAAAGGGAACCCCCCCTCCCACCCCGTGACATGCCTGTGATTACATTCTTTTTGAGGTAGTGCCAGAACACTTTCTTATTAGGATCATCAAGGAAGTTAACATTTGTTAGCCTGCTGAGGCAAGAAATAGAAGTTCAGAGAAAATGTAAAGCCGATGCTGAAGCCAGGATCTCCTGGATGTGTTGACATTATGTATAAATACATACGGTTTATTTTCTTCAACTTTGCGGATAATTAGTGCTTGCACTTCCAAAAAAATAAGTAAACTAATATTTGTATGATCAATGTAAACCATTTTTTAAATTTTTTTGGAGAAAGAAAATAGCTAAAGAAAGCAGGGAGATAAAGGAGTTAATTAGGACTGGTTAGGATCACAGATGGTTAATTGATTTAAAGTAGAATTAAAGTCTGGTGGAGTTTTTTTTGCATATATCTACTGTTGGTAAGCAGTAGATGTATGCCCCAACATTTAAAAAAAAAAAAGAGAAAAATTTGGACAAGAACAAACTTATTTGTGTCGGCACCACTCGCTCCCGGCAGCAGAAGTCCCGACTGTCAAACGCTGTGAAGAAGGAAGTGTGGGCAGGTGCGTGTGCACTCCATATCGTCGAGGAGGGCAACGCTTAAGCTAGTTAGACGCAGCCGGGAGCGTGCACGTTGGACAGACACCATGGGACCCGAGGAGTCTGTAGTGGATCAGAGACCGGCACCAGCGCTTGAGGGACTGTGGAAGGAAGAGGCGGTTTGGATCGAGAGGCATCACATAAGGTAAGTCCTTACAGCAGCATTGGGTGGCAAACTGCCTTTAATGTCACTTTAAGAGTAAACTTTTTTTCGATTTGTAGTTGGCTACACTTGATAGGTACAGTAACAGTGCATTTTGTTTCCATTCGAACCCTTTTATGTGGCAGGTGTTTGTGCTGGAAGCTTGGTCGCGTGCCCTCAACATGGAGACCAAGCTGTCCCTGACATCTCCTGGTCTCTTCTTTTTTTTTTTTTTTACCACAATCATGAATGAACAGGAGGCGATGTAGATCACTTCCCTTTCATTCATAATTGAGGATATATTAACCATACTATGTCCTCCATGTTATGTACAAACACTGATCGCTGAGTGTTTGTACCAATCTCCTTCCTGACCGCTGTCATTTTTATAAAAATATTAAAAAATTGAAAACATTTAAACTGTTTGAGATTAACTCAATTACAAAGACTAGAGGCCACCACCTAAAGTTGGTGTAGAAAAAATTCCAGCACAATGGTCGAAGAGGGTTCTTTACAGTAAGAGCGGTTAAGGTCTGGAACTCACTTTGTTCAAGAAACTTTTGGACAATTTCTTGAGGGACCATAATATCCAGGGATACCACTATCCCTAAGAATGAGATGATGCGTGGACCTATATGGGTTGGACTTGATGGACGTATGTCTTTTTTCAACCCCAAATACTAGGTAACTATGTAACAGGAGGCTGAGCAGGCGGTCCGGGCATAGAGGTCAGCCTCCTGTGACGGCGCGTGCTGTCTCCGCCCCCACACCGCTCTGCCGGACTGTGACAGGAGGCTGAGCAGTGTGGGAGGAGAGACACCGGCCGCTCACAGCGCTCTCCTCCCGCAGCGCTCGGCCGCCTGTCACACTTCTTTTGAAAGAAAGCAGGCATGCACCGATGTATCAGCAAAAAAATTGCACTTTTGGCATTTAGCCAAAAGTGCAATTTTCGGCCGATATATCGGTGCATCCCTAGTATTTTATTTCTTTTTTTTTTCAATGACTTTATATCGGTTATCTGTTGACATAGGTCCCTATCCCAACACCTGATGAAACCCTCAAATGAGTATTTTTCTGTGTAGATCAACCCTAGGGGGTGACCATAAATGCTTTAGTGATTGACACAGGAAAGAGTGGTGGATCCCACAAGGCAAGTCTGCCTTTCTGTGGAAGACATCTGTCTGTCTGTGCTTAGAATACTCTGCATGCTTGTTCTGTTTTTTTGACTTCAAAAATATTAAATCCATTAGATTGGCAAGACCACAACTTCTAGTTTTTTTTTTTTTTTAAATGTGTTCAAAAATGTCTGACATATCCCTTAACATGTTTATTTTAATATGGTGTAACTCAACTAATATTACTGGTTGTGCTCATGCTACTTTTATGATGCAGACAGAACTGTACCTTCTTTTCAACTGGACCTTAACATTGTTATATGTGCAAATGTGATCTTGATGAAAACAAACCTATTGGTGTGAGTTAATACTGTAAAAACATTTAAAAAAAATATATTTGTGGGCAGCCATATTGTCTCATCACTTATGTAGACTTTGCTTAGTGCTATGTAGTTGTACTCTACTATGCCTGTGTATCAGTTTAAGTCTGTAAATCTACTCAGGCTATTTAGCTTATGAAATGTAATTGATTGTCATGCAAGCCTTCTGAATATATTGGTACAGCTGAGAGAAAGAGAGAAAATGTCCAAATTTCTATATTGCCTACGTTCTTAAATCCTTTAAGTAAAGGATTGGCAAAGGGGTGTAACTGCTATTCCAACTTGCACAGACACGTGAACAAAGCTCCCAATTTAAGTGTAATGCTTTAAAAATGGCCTGCAGAAACCCAGACTTTTTGGCTTTACATATACAGTATCTATTGTGAGACAAGGGATGCCAGGCAAGAGCAGATGGTAGCCTAAGCATCAGGTGGCAAGTCTGGGTCCACACCACAGACTAGAGCAAGGTTTTTAAATATTTAATCTGCAGAAAGTTGGGGAGTATGGGGCTCAAAGGGAACCCCCCCTCCCACCCCGTGACATGCCTGTGATTACATTCTTTTTGAGGTAGTGCCAGAACACTTTCTTATTAGGATCATCAAGGAAGTTAACATTTGTTAGCCTGCTGAGGCAAGAAATAGAAGTTCAGAGAAAATGTAAAGCCGATGCTGAAGCCAGGATCTCCTGGATGTGTTGACATTATGTATAAATACATACGGTTTATTTTCTTCAACTTTGCGGATAATTAGTGCTTGCACTTCCAAAAAAATAAGTAAACTAATATTTGTATGATCAATGTAAACCATTTTTTAAATTTTTTTGGAGAAAGAAAATAGCTAAAGAAAGCAGGGAGATAAAGGAGTTAATTAGGACTGGTTAGGATCACAGATGGTTAATTGATTTAAAGTAGAATTAAAGTCTGGTGGAGTTTTTTTTGCATATATCTACTGTTGGTAAGCAGTAGATGTATGCCCCAACATTTAAAAAAAAAAAAGAGAAAAATTTGGACAAGAACAAACTTATTTGTGTCGGCACCACTCGCTCCCGGCAGCAGAAGTCCCGACTGTCAAACGCTGTGAAGAAGGAAGTGTGGGCAGGTGCGTGTGCACTCCATATCGTCGAGGAGGGCAACGCTTAAGCTAGTTAGACGCAGCCGGGAGCGTGCACGTTGGACAGACACCATGGGACCCGAGGAGTCTGTAGTGGATCAGAGACCGGCACCAGCGCTTGAGGGACTGTGGAAGGAAGAGGCGGTTTGGATCGAGAGGCATCACATAAGGTAAGTCCTTACAGCAGCATTGGGTGGCAAACTGCCTTTAATGTCACTTTAAGAGTAAACTTTTTTTCGATTTGTAGTTGGCTACACTTGATAGGTACAGTAACAGTGCATTTTGTTTCCATTCGAACCCTTTTATGTGGCAGGTGTTTGTGCTGGAAGCTTGGTCGCGTGCCCTCAACATGGAGACCAAGCTGTCCCTGACATCTCCTGGTCTCTTCTTTTTTTTTTTTTTTACATTCAAGCAAGTATAGACAATTCAAAGTATGATGCATAACTTATAAGACCTATGAGCCAACATTATGGGGTCTATTCACAAAAGGGTGAAGAATTTGGAGAAGGCAGGAGAAGTGAATAATCTAGGCCAAAATAGCTGAACTGGAGAATGTTTCCAAATCAGCCATGTTGGTCTAGATCAGTGGTGGCGAACCTATGGCACGCGAGGCCCTTTCTGCTGGCACACGAGCCCACGTTTAGGCCCCAAAACTTTAAGGCAGCCGAGCTGTCTAATGTCGACGGGGAGAAATCGGCCAGCGAGCAGGAGGAGAAGGGACGGAGCGGCAGGGGGTGGAGACAGAGGGAGATGGGGGCGGAGATGAAAGAGGACGGGAGGAGACGGGGGACTGAGCGGCATTAGACAGGGCCGGAGACGGAGGGAGATGGAAGAGGCCTGTGAAGACTGAGGAGGCAAAGGCAGAGACCGCGATGGAGGAGGCGTCGCCAAGGGGCCAGTCGAGCGGTGAAGCTGAGACGATTGGGTGCCGAGGCAGCAATGAAGGCTGGGCTTCCCGTGTAAGGTAGGAGCACTGTGCTGGCAGGGCCCAGCATAGATTATGCACAGCCCACCAAAAAGTCACAGGTGGGCTGTGCAATACCTTTTGGTGGGCTTTGCAGGATCCATGGGGGGCTCTGCAGCCTGCAAAACCCACCACAGATCCTGCACAGCCCCCCTGAGATCTGGCAGGCTGCAGGGTCTCAGGGGGTCTCTGCAGGATCTGTGGGGGGCTTTACAGGATTCGTAGGGTGCTCTGCCGCTTGCAAAGGGGGGCTGTGCAGCATCTGTGGTGGGCTTTGCAGCCTGCAGACCCCCCCCCCCCCACAGATCCTGCACAGCGCCCCTGAGATCTGGCAGACTGCAGGGTCTCAGGGGGTCTCTGCAGGCTATGTGGGGAGCTTTACAGGATCCGTAGGGTGCTCTGCCGCTTGCAAAGCCAACCACAGATCCTGTGCTGGATCTGTGTGGGGCTTTGCAGGGTCTCGGGCCTGTGCAGGATCTGTGTGGTCTCTGCAGCCCCATGGTGGGCAGAGCCCATTACAAATCCTGCACAGCCCTCATGAGACCACAGCTTTCCTGCTATGCTAACAGGGGAACATTTCAAAAGCTGGATACAGTGTTTGCACTGTATTAAACAGGAAGGGGTGGGGTAACTTTAGTGGGGGGCGCCCGAGTTTTGCCTTGCCTAGGGCAGCCAGAATACACCACTGCGTTCAGGGACCACCAATTGAAATAGATCCGACTGACCCGGATCGCCTTGGTATGCGATCCGGCCCAGTCACAATTAGGCAGCGGCCAATAAACAGGTTGGTTAGCAAGCGGCCGTCTAATCTGCCTGATTGTGACCGCCCCGACTACAGAGGCGATACCAGACGTTCGGGTCGCCCGTGAGAGCCGTACAAGCCCTCCCCAATGAGAGATGCATGGATGAAGAGACCCCAGGGATGCAGCCCCCCTCCCTGCAAAACAGGTAAGCAGGAGAGGGGGCAATGTTTTAATTATTCATTTTTATTAGTAGTTCTGTGTGTGTGTGTAAGGTGTGTGTTTTTAATAAGTATGTGTTTTATTGAGTGTATAAGTGCCCATTCATACTGGCCGTTTCCGCCGCACGATATCGCAAGAAGTCGCCATCCAATGCTTTTCAGTGGAGCGGTTTTAATGTACAGCTTCATGTCGCCCGTCGCTCGTGCAGGACCCTTTTTCCCGTGACTGTCGCTCGATTTTTGCATGCAGCCCAACGGTGAAGGTCACGCGATCGTCATTGGAACGTCGCCTGAACAGTCATGCTATCGCGGCCGCGCGGAAATCCGCCCAGGTGAGTGTCGCTCAGTGTGAATGGGCCCTTAATGTTTGAATATGCAGGTTTCTCTATTTTGCCTAAGGCAATGATCTTGAACGTTTCTTAGACCGGAGCGCCCAAACTACAATACTAAAAAGGTTCGCCATCACTGGTATAGATTGTTCACTTCTCCTGCCTTCTCAACTCTTCACCCTTTTGTGAATAGACCCCTATATGTCGTATTCCATAATAGCAATATTTCTTTGGTATCTAGGGTGATCTTAATTTGAACAGTAATATAATTCGTCCACTATTACATATTTAGTGCAGTCAAGGGTCAGCTGTAGGTACCTTGTTTAGATAAGAGGGAGTTGTTTAGTATGCTAACCAGCAAGCCCATGTTTTGGAGAGGCGCTCTTTTTGGTGTAATCTGGTTAAGGTGAGTTCTTCCATGCAGTAAATCTGTTCCGCTTTATTAATCCACTCCAATAAGGAGGGAGGAGATGTAGTTTTCCATTTAGGAAGGATTAAGGACTTAGCTGCGTTTAGGAGATGTGGCGTAATGGAGCGGACGTATCTTCCTATATGGCCTTTCTCCCCATGGAACAGCACCATCCAAGGGTCGAAGTGTACTGGGCATCCTTGAATCGTGAGTATCTCAGATGTTACCTCTCTCCAATATGAGGTTATACTAGGACACTGCCACCATACGTGGGCATGCGTGGCTACTTCACCACAACCCCGCCAACATAGGGGAGTGATTGAGATATCCATTTAGTGCATCCTCCTGAGGCGTCTAATACCATCTACTTAGTAACTTGAAGTTAAGCTCCTGAATGCGTGTGGATCTGGAGAGCCCCAAGGATAAGGCTAGTATGCAGGATCTAATTTGCTCAGTAAGTGGACTGTCCAGTTCCCTTTCCCAGTGTGTCAGATGGGATGGGGTGGGAGTAGTGTCCATGTGAGCTAATGTTGCGTATATAGAGGAAATACACTTGGCAGGGGTTGAGTCTGCCGGGAAGAGCTGTTCCGTGGGATTCAGTTCTGATCTGGATCTCAGTGGGCCCGGGAGAGTCCGTACAAAATGGGATAGCTGCCCGTATCTCCATATGTCCGTAATTGAGGGGTCAGTAGCTAGATTTAGGGAGGCCATAGGTTTGAGACACCCGTTTTGCAATACCTGGTGGAGTAGTAATTCTGATCCTTTCTGGATCCAGAAGCGGTAGCCACCATCCATAAGACCCGGAGAGAAACAGCTATGTCCTAATAAAGGCATCAGGGGGGAATTGTATTCCCAGCGTTGTTTACTATGGATTGCGTCCCATATGGACAATGTCGTGTTAGTTAGAATGTGGGTGTCTCCGGATAGTGGTCTGTAACGCCTCGGGATCCAACAAATTTTTATGTAAGGGCTCTTGGCTTAAGGCGTATTCCATCTGCAACCACAGTTTGGTGTCTGAAGCATAATGCCAATCCAAGAGCCTAGCTAGTGATTTAGCTTTGTAATACCCGTGAAAATCCGGTAGGGAAACCCCACCCAGAGATTTTGGTCTAGTCAGAATTTTATAAGAAATGCAGGCTCTATTGCGCTTCCATATAAATCTAGAAACCAATGACCGCAAAAGGGCAAACTAGGTGGAGGGGAACCCCCATGGGTAACATTTGAAAGAGGAAGAGCAGTCTCGGCAACACATTCATCTTAATGGCATTTATTCTGCCCATCCAGGAGTGGTATAGAGGGGACCAACGATTCAGGTCTGCTCGTATTTCATTCAATAATGGCATGTAATTATAGCGAAATGAGACCTTCAGGCGTAGTTAACACCCAGACACTTTATGCGACTGCCAGGTACAAGGGAAGTGAGATTGTAAAGCTCTAGCCTCAACGAGGGGTACTGTCAGGTTCAGAATAGTGGATTTCGAGAGGTTAATTTTAAAGTTGGACAACTTATTATAGTCTTTTAGCTCTAATAGTAAATTTGGAAGGGAGATTCGGGGATTACTAATGTAGAAAAAGATGTCATCCGCGTACGCCGCATATTTATGTTCTCTGGATCCCACCTGCACCCCTCTGATGATGTTATGGGCTATTGTGGATAGGAAGGGTTCCAGGGAAATGGCAAACAGCAGAGGTGATAAAGGGCATCCCTGCCGCGTGCCATTTCCTAGAGAAAAGGAAGGACTGAGCACTCCGTTAACCCGTACCTGTGCCTGGGGGTCACGATATAATGCGGAGATCCGGAACATTACACCCGTACGTATCCCCATTGTTCCCAGAGTTGCTAGCATGAAATCCCAGGCCACTCTGTCAAATGCTTTTTCTGCGTCCGTTGACAGCAGTAGTGTAGCCTGGGATGTCCTGCGGACGTGCGATATAATAGCCAAGGTACGTAGAGATTGGTCTCTAGCCTCACGTCCCGGAATAAATCCTGTCTGGTCTTGGGAAACAAAGCGAGGTATTAGTGGTTGAAGGTGGAGTACCAGAACCTTCGAGTAGAGTTTAATATCTACGTTTAATAACAAGATTGGCCTGTAACTAGGGCATCAGATGGTATCCTTACCTGGCTTGGGCAGTACCGTGATGTGCGCCAGGGTCGTTTCTGGGCGCAGGGTCCCCCTGTAGTTATGGAGTTAGCGTAATTAGTAAGGTGGGGCAGTAGTACATCTTTAAATGAGGTATAGTAAGGGAGGGTTAGACCATCTGGGCCTGGTGCCTTACCCGACGCCATTGTGCCCAACGCTTTAGTGAATTCCTCACTGGTAATTTCCGCTTCCAGAGCTTCCATCTCTTCCTTCGGAAAAGTTGGAAGGCGAGCATTTCGTAAGTATTCATCCATAAGAGATTTCCTGGTGCGGAGTTGCTCGTCTTGAGTGGTCGGATTTGTCAGTTACATTGTATAAGGAGCTGTAATGATCACAAAATACATTAGCTATATCTTTAGAGAGGTGGACCACTTTGTCCATCTTTTAGTTTTAATTTTGGGGATATATGTAGTTGAATGTTTGTGGCATAGGGATCTAGCTAAATATTTACCCGGTTTGTTAGCCCATTCGTAGTCCCGCTGACTCATCCACATGAATTTTTGGGCAGTTTTGTGGTTAAGTGTTTTAAGGTCTTCTCTGGTCTGTAATAGTGATAATGAGTGAGCTGTAGTGAGCATTTATGAAGATGTTCTAAGGACCTGATCTTTTCTTATAGGGACTGCAGTTCCTGTTCTGCCTCGCGTTTTCTCCTTGCTCCCAACTCGATCAGCCGTCCATGGATTACCGCCTTGTGTGCCTCCCAGAGCACTGCTGGAGAGGCACCCGGGGTGGCATTAACCTGAAAATAATTCTGTAAATCCGTGAGCAGCTGTTCTTTTGCGATGGGGGCAGCGTAATAGATATTCATTGAGCTTCCAATTTGTAGATCTGGAGGGTATCGATGGCCAGTTAAGGGAGGTCAGAACCGGAGAGTGGTCAGACAATGTTCTAGTAGATATGGAGGATGTTTTGACTAAGTGTAGGTGATGATGGTCTACGAATATCATATAAATGCGTGAGAGGCCGAGTAATGGGAGAAGTCCCTATCTGCTGGATGCATAAAACGCCAATTGTCAGTTGTGTTTTGTGTAAAATCGATTTAATAAATACATTTGGTTATAGGAGAGTGCAGAGCGGCCTGAGGAGGTATCTATATGAGGGTCTAGTGCTACATTGAAGTCCCCACTTACCATTAACACTCCAGATGCAAAGTCCGATAGTATATTGAGTGTCTTTGATAAGAAACCTGCTTGGTTCTGGTTTGGACAATATATATTAGCCAAAGTACATGTAGTATTGCCGAGAGTGCCCTTCAAGAACAAATATCACCCTGAATCATCAGATAGCATTTCAGTTAATGTGAAAGGGGTACCCCTGCGTAGACCGATGGCAACTCCCTTAGCATGATTCGTGTTTGATAAACTATAGTACCAGGTGGGGTAATGATGTGACGTCAGACGTGTATTGGTGAACAGACAAGTGAGTCTCCTGTAGAAACGCTATATCACAGGAGAGTCTTTTCAATTCCCCCAATACCTGGTGACGTTTGGTTGGGGTGTTAAGGCCCCGAACATTGTAAGATGTCAAATTCACCGTTGCCATGGTGACGCAGGAGCTCCCCGGAACAACAATGCTGGTATATATACATTGGTGACCTTACAAAGGAGAGTATAAAAGGGGAGGGAGGTGAGGTAAAGAGGGGGAAGACAGTCAAGAACAGAAAAAACATGGAGAAGTCTCCAACACAGCGCAACTTTGAAGGTATGAGGTATGACCTTCAACAGTACAATCAAGCAAAGCAAATGTGGGCAGGCTGTAACCGTCAGCCCGACCAGGATACTGTAAAGTGCTTTAACTACACACAGTTAACTGATGCCGTTAAGAAAAGGGTATAGCCAAATAGCTAACATTGAAAGATGTATCCGATCACAACCAGTGCGGATGATGAGGTGTCTGCCATGACATTCAACTAGGGATGCACCGATACCTCTTTTTTAAGGCCGAGTACGAGTACCGATACTTTTTTTCAAGTACTCGCCGATACCAATTACAGATACTTTTTCTTAAAAGGAATCAACATGTCAAAGATATCGGAGCAGTCAAGCAGAGGTAAAGTGAACCTGCTCACCCCAGTCCATCAGGGTTGATAGGCCTTCCCGAGCGGCGTTTCTTTGTGGAGGAGCGCCATTCGTGGCTTGCATCTGAGCAGGAGTCCGGTATCGTGCCAGTCCAACCAGGTAGATCCGGTACCGAAATCCCCAAGTCGGTGCAGAAGGCCTCCAGCTCTTCAGGGAAGCGTAGGATCACTGAGCGGCCTCCCTTTTCTAGCGATCAGGAAAGAGGGGAATCCCCATCGGTAAGTGATATCTGCTTGTCTTAGGCGGTCCAGGAGTGGACACAGGGCCCTGCGGCGCTCCAAGGTTTCTCGGGCCAGGTCCGGGAAGTTGCGGAGTTGCGCCACATCGAAATCCACAGATAACCCCCCCCTAATTTCTTGGATACATCCTCTTTATCCGCAAAATAATGGAATCTGCAGATGACATCACGGGGAGCCGTATCAGATTGCGCGGGCGTAAGGCCCGGTGAGCTCGATCAAAGCGGAGGGGTGCAGTGGCTGGGCGACCCAATATGGAGTTAAAAATACCTTGTAAAGAGTCCATCAGATGAGCGTCTGCGGTAGCTTCTGGCAGTCCCCGGATCCTTAGATTATTTGTTCAGCTGCGATTCTCCTGGTCCTCTACCTTGTATAGGAGAGAGCGGTGTGCGATCGCCATTACACATTGCGATTCCCAGATTTCCCGATCATGGCCATCCAGCCGGGTCTCCGACTCTTCCACTCGGGTCAGCAGATGTGAAAGGTCAGATCGCACATTTGATAAATCCTGTTTGAGTGAGGATTCCAGTACCTGGAACATACCTGGAAGGATACCTGCATATCCGCTGACAGTGGTATAGGTGAGGGGGATCAGAGTCACTGGAAGACCCTGGAGAGTCCGGAGTCGGAGACTGCTGTGAAGCAGCTTGAGCGGCCTTCCTTTCTGAAGGTGGCTGCCTCGTGTTAGGCCTCAATGCGGTGGTGGGAGGTGATCGCGGTTACGAAATCAAATACCTTTTCAGGGTGCTGGATGTCGCTTTTTTCCATCCGGATGATCTCTGACTCTTCCTTCCCATGGTCGTGCTCACTGTGGCTAAGATTGGGATAAGTTGAAGGCAGTATAACGGCAAGTTTAGTCGGGCTGTAGTGGGAGCTCTGCTCAGGTGCAACCGTTCAGCGACATGCGTTAGCCACGCCCCCCTCCTGGTCTCTTTTGAATGGTCAGATGCTGGGTGGTCCTGCTTCCAACTATGTGATCACAGTAATAGCCAATCGCAGGGTTTAGAAGCCTTTCCTGTAATGTCTTTTTCTCATCTCTATGGGAAATCTGTT